CAAAGGGGGGCTGAAGCTACTAGGCGGATTAAGATTCCCGTTTTTCATTCCCGCAAACGGCAAACGTGACCACGTTTTCATCGTTTCTCGACATTTCACTTGAAGCCCCCTTCGGCAAAAAAAAAAACACACACACACAACAAAACTGAAGAATTAGGTGCTTTTTGATTGTTTTCCGTTGTGTTGACGGAAGGAACTCAATTAGCTCCCCCCCCCTAAACTCAATTACCCCCCCCCCCTAAAATTTTGGCTGGATCCGCCCTTGTCGTTGTTCAGCAGTAGAGACTTTAAGATTCTCGTTTACGGCAAACGTGAAACGTCAGTTGACAATTAAAAAATTCTTTAAAATTAGTGAAAAGGAATCGAAAAAAAATCCAAGTAGTAAATAAACAAAAGAATACTTGTCTTTTTATCAAGAAGGTTTGCAAAAGGTAAAGTGAAATGTCGAGAAACGATGAAAACGTGGTCACGTTTGCCGTTTGCGGGAATGAAAAACGGGAATCTTAATCTGCCTAGTAGCTTCGCTCAGACAACCGTTGTCCAAGTTCCATGCAGTGACCAACGCGGCTGTCATAGAAAAAATTAAAAGCGCACAAAAAAATGTAATATTATAATGCTACACCAATTTGCGTGCTTTGCATTCTTTCCGGATAAACCGGTATAGAATTTCCCGAAAAATGGGAAATCTTTCTTTTCAACTTTTTTAGGTGATTAAAGTCGAGGAAAGTGAATGTTCATACAAGGCGGAAATTGCAATTCTCAACCCTAACAAGTGTAAAGCAAAAATGGACGTCCAATTTTATCCAGAAAAGTGTCCAACAAATATCAATGTGAAATTCGAAGATGGGGAAGAGTAAGTAACAGCATCCTTTCGTTTTCATTTAATTTGGCGTAACTATTTTTCTCCAGCTCCTGATTTTCTATCCTCCTACGCAAACGTTCTTAGGGTATTTAATCGAATACAAACGTATATATTTTAAAATCTTTTTTGCAAAGTGTAGGTGCACAATATACTTTTCATGCTCTGTCAACGAAAAGTCATCCAAATTCCAGATCTCGAGAAAGCAGGGTAAAATAGTGTGTGTGATGCCCAAGAGAGAGGATGGAACAGTAGGAGAACGTGTGATACAGAATATTGCACCAGTTCCTTTCCACGCCTTGGAAATTTGGGACTCCGGATTTGACGATACAGTGTGAGTAATTATCTACCCAGACTGTTGGTAGAGTGGATTTAGTCAAACCGTTCAGTAGTTGACGTTAGCTAAATTAGATTAGTTATTTACTATTTTAGTTGAAGTAACACAAATTGAAAATTCAAGTGCCAGCGGACTGAAAATCAGGGGAGAAAACGAATATCGAACCCCCGAATTGGCGTGACCCGTGTAGATGATGTCAACTAACTAGTTATTTAAATTAAAGAAATTAATCTAACTATTCAACAGTGACTAAATGCACTCTAATCAGTATCGTAAACTCTAACGAAAGGAATAGGGATGATGTGTGTCGCTAATAATATAGCGTTCATTAACTGAACAAATGCTGTTTGTGGGGTCCGAGGTAGAGACCCCACAAACCATGTGCTCAAATATGCTCGACCTTTATTCAATTCGTCCACGACCCGGTTTCTAGATTCAACTGAGTTCATGTTTTTGTTGTTGTTGTTTTTTGTTAGAATAATTTGTGGTCATATGTTTGGCACGGAACTGGACATGAAACTGAAGAGCGAAAGAAAAAGTGGCGACGCATTCTTCGACTTGAGAGAATCGATATCGAAGATTTTACAAGGACATGTAGAAGAACCCAAGGTAATTAACATTCAATATCGCGGCTTTCTTACCATTCCGGCTTTGATCTGAATCAAGAGAAAAATCAGTTTCTCTTGTCTGAATGTTTTGCAATTATTTTATAACTGTTGATCCAGAAATGGTTACCCATATATATTTTCCCTTAGTACTACAAAATCAGTGCAAAACCTTAATTTTCTATAACCTAACAAGAGTTAGTGTATTCATTTCCCTCCCTGGAGAAATATTTGTCTATGATGTCGTAAACGAGATTTCTTTATAGTTCCGCGGCATATCCTGAGCCAGTTAGTTTTCATTTGGATATCAGTTGACTGCAACACATATGAATTCAACGATCTCGGTACAATTTATAAGAAGTAAACCGCTTAAAAACGACGTTGCGGCGTAAATCGTAAACCGTAAAGCGACAACTCTACGTTGTTTCCCCCATGTATTTCCTAAATATACACTGTCAATCTTTTTTTCGTATTCATCTTATAAACTTTTGTCAAGAGAATATGATAGTTTATTTTCTTTTGCTTTTGTATTGTAGATTCCAAAAGTGTACGCTCTTGAGGACAACCCACTTGTTAGAGCTCCTTATAACACCCTTGATGATATTAAGCGGAAGAAAGGGTTTATAATCAAAGTGGAAAAAATTTATCGATGGAATTATCTCCCTCTCATCAAGATTATCTTCTACGATTGTAAAAAGTATGGTGACATTATGAAGAAAAATCCAACAGGCTCGGAAGCGCTTGTGAGGTCTTTCTTGTCGACAATAATGAGAGCATCGATCCTGAGAACGTGGGCTGACCAAAAGGTAAAGGATGCGGAAGAGCCGTTCGCACAGTCTGCATCAGTGCGACCATAGTAACTATTAACTATGGTGCGACTTCGCCACGACATAGCTAGAATGATTTGGCGGGAAAGGCTTATGTCTTATTTCATGAAATCTTAAATGCTTTCTAGTTATTAAAGCTTTTGTATACTGTAGTTACAGACGTTTTATTCTTTTTAACAGGAACTAGACCTGTTGCGTAAGATGCTGTACACAAATGCTGTTCGTATTCCACAAGAAGAAGTCAGTGCTGATTCTCTGTGGAAAGCTTCTTTCGTGACCCCTTTGTTTCCAAGGGAAAGAAATAACATATTCTTTCAGGGTAAGTTTCCACTGATAATGAGACAAACAAACAAACAAACAAAAACTTGGGCTATATACCGTTCATGTGTGTTCCAATTTCCTGGGAGGAATGCCATGTCCCTGGGAATGCAACTCGGAATGCTAACAGGATTCCCTATACGAAACGCGACTTCCTGGTCGAAATCAGATCAGTGAATAAATTTCTGAGCTAGGCATTCTCAATAGTAATATATCCTCACTGAAGCCATTATCACGTCGCAGTATGATTAAGTTATGGGGCGAGATCCGCTCCTTGTCCCTGACAATACAACGAGATGGTATATAGCCAAACTCCAGTCGTAGTAGTGCATAATAACTAATCCAGTAGTAATATGCCAACCTTTAATCTTACTATGCTCAACCCCATATACCCAATACTCAAAACCCACATCCAAAACTCAAAAACCACATCCAAACCCAAAAACCCACATCCAATACTCAAAACTTAAAGCATAAAGCCGGCTAATAATTCCACTATCCACTACTCAAATATCCTGTATAATCGGTGTGAAATAGGCGCTGGGACGTGTGACCAAAGGAACAAAGCTCAACGAAGTCCAAAGCAGTAAAAAGCAGGACCGAAACAAAACAAAATACCAAGAAACAAGTTTATACAGCACTCAGTAAATTATCAGGGTGAGAGACCGGGACGTCTGCCAATGCCTCCGCCCTGGACCAACAAAGGGTGGGGTTTCCTGGGTAATGCACCTCAAGGGGATCGCCCCTTCGGGGATTAGCTTTTGAGCAACGTGAAGTCTCGAAGCAAATGGGGAACCATTTACCTAGAACGCAACCAAAACCAAACAAGGGTGAGCGCGACTAGGTAACCCCGGAAACCCGACCCTCTGTTGGCCCCAGGCTCTGAACTAGGTCCGGAATTACAGCACTGAGAAGGCCCCCCCAGGGCCAACGGAGGACGCGACAAGATAATCCCAGATGATCATGAACAGCGAGAAAGGGGAGAAATAAATTTCAGGGTTTCAGGGAACCAGGAAACCAGGGTTTCCAACAGCTCAACAGCTTCGTAACGGTCAAACAGCGATGCCGGCCTATTAAGGTGTCTCCTTAGTGCGACCGAGGCGTTCTCGCAGGACCCGACGACTTTTTCTCTTTCCAGAGCCTTAACCTTCTGTTCTAACAGCTCTAAGCGATCTGCAGGCTGTAAGAATTCGCAGAGAGGGATTAAGTCAGTACTCTTAAACTACGAGACCAACTTCCGGCCTAATTCTAAAAAACGCATTGTACAACCATGGCTAACCACGCGTGCCGAAAAGGGGGTTACGCTCCCGTGGCTCTCCGAGCCCTTTAACGTACTACAGTACAACACAAGTATTTGATACAAAACACCCTGCTCACGGCTCTCCAGGCAGCATTGGTTCTCCAGGCCAATCTAACTCAAAATATTACGCGACATACTCGCGGCTCTCCAGGCCGTTAGCTCTACTCACATTGGCTCTCCAGGCCAATCTAGATAACTCAAATTATTACGCGACAAACTCGTGGCTCTCCAGGCCGCTAGCCCTACTCGTATTGGCTCTCCAGGCCAATCTAACTCAAATTATTACGCGACATACTCGCGGCTCTCCAGGCCGTTAGCTCTACTCATATTGGCTCTCCAAGCCAATCTAACTCAAATTATTACGCGACATACTCGTGGCTCTCCAGGCCGTTAGCTCTACTCATATTGRCTCTCCAGGCCAATCTAACTCAAATTATTACACGACATACTCGTGGCTCTCCGGGCCGCTAGCCCTACTCGTATTGGCTCTCCAGGCCAATCTAACTCAAATTATTACGCGACATACTCGTGGCTCTCCAGGCCGTTAGCTCTACTCGTATTGGCTCTCCAGGCCAATCTAACTCAAATTATTACGCGACAAACTCGTGGCTCTCCAGGCCGCTAGCCCTACTAATATTGGCTCTCCAGGCCAAACTAACTCAAATTAATTACCTGGCATATTCGCTGTTCTTTAGGCCTATATAGCCCCAAGAAACTGCACAAACTACGAAGATAAATATCACACAAAAGCACTAGGACCGCGTGAAATAAAAACGCTGAAGCAGATCCGTACACCAAAAGACTCCCCAGGGCAAAAAAGTGTAACCTACATAAAAGGCTAAAACCGATGAAACCAAGGGCGCTAAAGAACAAGCCATGAACAAAGAACCAAACCAACCAAGTGTGACGAGGGTAGAAATAAATGCAAATCTGAAGGGTAAACTACTTGAGTAAAACTATAACTGCGCCCAAAAATACCATGTAATAACGCATAAAATAGTAGTAGCATGCCTTGGATGCAAATCTGAAGGGAAACTACTCGAGTAAAACTAGAACTGCTCCCAAAAATACCATATAATAACGTATAAAATAGTAGTAGCGTGCATTAACAAAACCACGAGGTCCAGATAAACTAGCAGGCAAAAAATAGCGCCAACACGAAGGGAATAACAAACTCTCCCAGATAAAAGAACTGCAGCAAAATTACCTGCTGCTCGCCAACCGGTGGAACTACTGCTCCCGGCGCTTGCTGTTCAGGGTTTTGAACCCCATCTCCTGCTGCCGCTCCTTGCGCCACGTGAACTCTCAGTACAAATTATATCTTTCAAATTTTCTTTGCACCGGCAAAACGAAACAAATAGAATACAACAAACCTAAACTTTTTCCCACAATATACTAGCCGTCAGCATAAGCGCCTCAAGTCCCGTCTGTGTTTCATCAGCATGCATAGAGCACTAGAAATGTTGGCTTATGGCTGGTGGCGGTGGTGGGGACAGCGAGAAAAATTCGTACTTCGAAGGTCCAAACGACGTTATGCAATGAGTCATGTGTGTTGACTTTATTTATACTGCTTGGTGATAATTTATTCAGTGAGAATAGCATGATTATCCGCATTTGGACTCCAGATAGCCTGTAGTTTCCACTGTCGTACGATAAAAATAAGTATTCCTTTATTCTTCCCAACATTTTTTAGATACATCATCGATGCAGAAAAGCATCAGCAAACTTCTATTTGGTGGCATCACAGATACGTCTCAGTCTGCGCCAAAAATACTGGCGCAGGCCCTTCCTAGATGTCACTTTTGTCACAAGACATCTGGAGACCTAAAGAGATGTATGGGCTGTAAGGATGTTTCTTACTGCAGTAGAGATTGTCAGAAAAAAGACTGGAAACAGAACCATAAGGCAGTGTGTCGAAAAAACTAGGAGAAACAAAGAAAGACCTCGAGTTCACATCTGGTAGCCTCGTATCCAAGATAATTTAAAGAAATGTTTAAAATGTCTTTGGTAAAGATTTCGTAATTAAAAGTAGTATTATAAGCATAACAAGTTTTGCGGTCGAAAATTCTGTACTCAAAGATTAGCTTTATAGGAGTTGAAATGCACAGGAAGCCCACTTTGGATTAAATTGATAAAGGAAAAAAAAATCGGCAAAAAATTTCATCTTTTTAAAGTTTTATAGAAATAGCAAAAAGACAATGAATTTAACAAATTTACGATGGTTKAGCGTGGTATGTCCTCTTATTTACCACGATATGACGCCAAACGTTGGTCAAAATTAGTTATGGACCCACTCGGCTTACGCCTCGTGAGTCCATAACATTTTGACCAACTTTTGACGTCATATCGTGGTAAATAAGAGGACATACCACGCTCAACCATCGTAAATTTGTTTTTTACTACAAAACTCACAAAACTCTAGGAAATAGACTGCACGAAATCTTGCATGACGCCATTTGTTGGTATGGCCTCTTATTTACGACGTTTTTTAACCAATCAGCGCGCGAGAAAATTTACAATTGTGGTAAAAATGCTAGTATACTCTGATAAATACTAGCAAAATCAAGTAAAAAATAGTTAATTTCAATATTGTCCTCTGTCGACTTATGATTTGAAACAAAGATCCAAATATAAACAGTGAAGATAGACAAGAAAAACTCTAAAATTTATGTGCTAAAATTGAAATTAAAACTTAGTTTTTTTCCTCTTCGGTTTCCGAACTTGTAAGAAATGAAGCATCATTAAGCCTATGAAAGTCAAATGTAGGGTGGGGTGGGAGAAATATCTTTGGAAATAAATGCATCTTTTTGTTTTTACCTATGATAATCTTTTTCCAGTAACTATTTCTCTCTCTTGACGAACGTAAAACATAACGGCAACAATTTCAGAAAAAGAACCCTGGTAAATGACGTTGGATTGACATGTCTGTCCTGATGTTGTGCCACGTACAAATAATGACGTCACGTCTATACACTGAGCATGCGCACTACGCCATATTGCCTTCCCTACTTCACTTGCAAAACTAAGTGCTTTGGAAAACCTTTAAAAATTCTGGTTTTATGATCTTCTAACCATAATTTTTACTTAACGCAGAGATGGACCCACCTATGAGCGGTAAGTAGATTTATTTTTGTCGAGATACGTGTATTTGTAATGTGTTTTTGCTGCAGTTCTTTGACGACAGTTGACTCCATCACCCTCGATAGTCGTTGCATGCTCACCATCACTACTTCAAATTATTTTACTTCAAAGTCAACATATATCTCTATTCTAAAATCTAACGATCTCTAATTAAATTTAAGAGATATAGTAAAGTCTCTAAGCTCTAAAGATCTTAAAATATCTTCAATTTTTAAGTTTAATCTAAATAGTAAAAAATAAGTTTTGTTTTGGCATTTCAAGCCTAAAGTTGTTTCATTTTTCTTCTTTTTCCTCTTTAAGTTAATAACGAGATTTCCTCTCTCGCTTTCTATTGTACGATAAATCCATAATCCCAGACTCTGAAATAATAAAAATTCTCTGATTACGAGCCAGACTTCTATATACACAATTATCCATTGTATCAGAGACAAAACATTCTTTATACTAGCACCATTTGATTTGTACTTTAAAGCCCTTCAGATTCTAACTTAAAAAAATCTTCTAAAACACTGTTTTTATCTCATATAAGGCTGTTTTATTATCACTTTTGTGATTTTGCAAACAGTTTCCTCCAGAAAGGAGTTTTGGGAACCCTGTGGTAAGGTGACCAAGTAAGAGTTTGACTTCAAACACTAGAGAAAATTTTGCAGTCTTCTAAAACTCAAAATTAACTGGATTCACAATGGAATCGTACATGAAATTTTGCAAATAAGGTGTTCTCTTACATCTCATCCAAACAAACGTTTTTGTATTTGAAAAAAAAAATTTCTCAAAAGTTTGTTTTTTGTTTGCTTTTTTCTGCCCTCCAGATTCTTATCCTAAAAGTTCTACTGTGCCAAGAAGGCGAATAACTTCTGTACATTCTGGTACAACTATAAGTACTACAGTGTATTCCTTTTAATCCACTACTTATTTCATTCCATTCTGTTTCATTCTCGTTCACTCTTAGTAACACATCATTCATTTCTTCAAGATTCCTGTTTCTAGTTTGTTAGCTTTTGGGAGAAGTTGGCATACACTTTCATTTCAACTTCCATTTGCTTTCAATCATCCTTTTTTTTCAATCATTCTTTCTTTCCTATTTTCATTAATACGGTAACCTAAATTTACATAATTCTTGATTTTGATAATTCCTGTAAATATTGCCTTTTTTCATGGAAAGTTCAATGACAATATTTTTTGACACTCACAATATTTTTACATAAATGATAAATTTTCTTAAAATTTAACTTCAGTAATGATAAAAAATATATAGGCAGTTACTCTAAAACCATTGCTTGCATAATGATTAACCAACCCTAACTTCTAAAGGTAATGCTTTTTTCATGCTAAATGATAGTCTTCTAGAAGTTGGGCATTGCTTGATATTCCGCCCATTCATTGATATTCGGTATCATTGAAACTATACATTATTTTCTCTATCCTTCTAAGGTATTTAAAACGATTGTGACTTGTTTCTTGAAGACATGATTTGATAATCTGTGTATGGGGTAGAGACTAGAAGGCTAGAACTATAAGATAACTGATTTTAGTTTAAACAAAGCTAAAAGTAATTGCCGGATGTTTTCTTAAACTACTATAGCTATGGAGTCCACTAAATCCCTATTTCACCAAATTTTAATTTCATGCATGCAGGTTTTGCACAACTCTTTCTATTCTTGGCAAGTCATTTCAATTAGGCCTATATGTTAAGTACGATTTCTTTTTCTTTTTGAAGCACAAAAAATTAATAAATTTTTGAATTTTGTTGAATTTTTGCAGACCTCTAAAAATATAGAGTAACAATTTGAAAACTGGATTCCTGACATCCCATTGTTTATCTTCCTGTGATATATTCCTCACGGTTAAATTCTGGTGTTAAAAAGTTTGACCTTACTTAATCTTATTAATTAACGTCTCTTGAAACAGAGGGCTCTTACTATAATCCACCACCAGTTCAGAAGAGAAATGTCAGACAGAAAGGTAGTATTCTTAGCTAATTCTTTCGCTGCTAACACATGTACTTAAAAAAATTCTTTTCTAAAATCATTTCCAACCAATATTTCCACGCTTCAATACCTTGACATTCTTTCTTCAACAAAATTATAACAGCACATTTCTGTTCAGTCTTTTTCTTGAGTGAAGTCCAAGGAGAGAGATACAAGTTTGTCCTCCTTGTGTTGTTCTGAACCTATTTCACTCACGTCATACGTCTTTCACTTCACACAAATAATAATGGCTTCTGTTTCAAATATTGCTATGCTGGGTTGTGGGAAGGAGAAGAGGCATCATTTTTGGAAATGTGAAAAATCAAAATTATTTTGGGAAGTATATAAACTAAGATTTCTTCACACAAGGAGATGGTTTCTTTAGCTTTGTGTTAATTGTTTCATTATAGCTCATCAAAGACACCAGCCTGGTGGGTATGGTGGTGGTGGTATGGGGTCCTCCCATTTGTTTGACGACACCAGTGCAGACCAGCATGGACCAATGCCTGGTCCTGGTCAGCAGTATGCTGGCGTAGATTTCCTTCAAGCGCCTGTTACTAACATGGCTTTTCAGTATGGCACTAACATGGCATCACAAGGAAAGGAGTATGTAGAAAAAAATGTGAGTATTAATTTCAGATACTATGGAGTCGCATTTATTATGGGATCATCTTTGACAAGGGGATGAGATAAAATCTGTTTAATATTTATATACTTTGTTTATTTTTACTTTCAGCTCGACAGATTTGTTTCTGTTTCCAAATTAAAATACTACTTTGCAGTTGACACTGGCTATGTTGTAAAGAAACTTGGTTTACTTCTCTTCCCTTTTACACACAAGGTAAAATTAAACAATTCTTATTGTGATTGCACTTCTTTAAGTTGGATAATAATTCAGCATTATACTAGTACGAAACTATCAAACTCACTTGTGAAGTTCAGCCAATACCTAATAGACTGTTTGTGGTGCATACAATCTTGGTCATGAGATCAAAATGCTCCAGCATGTTTAGTCCTCCTTTTCCAGCGCTTAGTAAGCTGAGGATTGGATGGTTGATTGTAGCTTCGTGGTGGTATAGGAATCCTAGTATGCACAATGAGGCTGTTACTGCTGTCTTGCTTCAAACTTTGGAAAAGGGATTTCAGTAGTGAAGTGTCAGCCTGTAATTTGTTTTAATTCTTTTGTAGAACTGGGCAGTCCAGTACAACAAATCAGAACCTGTTGCTCCAAGATATGAAATAAATGCACCAGACCTATACATTCCTGGTAAATATTTGTATTCATTTTATTACTGTAGTAGCCTGCATTACTTGGCTATCTCTGCATGTGTTTTTTTTACGAGTGAGGGTGTTGGAGGGCAAAAGGTTTTGGCTTAGGATGAGATACCGTATGTAAGACATATTGTTGGTGGGTTGGAAGGGATGGATCAATATGTAGAAGTGAGAGCTGTAGGATATTATTAGTTTAGTTTTCCCATCATGTTTTATTCTATTTTGTTGCTTCATTTCTCACTTGACCCAAGAAAATAAATTGTTCTAGGATTATAATTGTATTGGCCAATTTAATACTAAAGTATAATAATTGCCAAAAAAGTGTTCAACATTGTAAAGCATTAATTTTTTCATAGTAATGGCTTTTGTCACATATGTGCTTGTTGCTGGCCTTGTACTGGGTACTCAAAACAGGTATGTAACCTAAAATAATCATCATAAATRCTTGTCCATGGCAGAAAGTAGTAAACATCTTTTTTTAATTCCWCCTWATTCACCCCTTTGATCTTCCCTTGACTTTTCTTACATGAATGATTGCAAACATTTCTCTTCTATTTTGTACATTTAGATTCACCCCCGAACAGCTAGGAATCACAGCAAGCTCRGCYCTGATCTGGTTGGTGGTTGAAATCATGGCTATTMTATTTTCCATGTACGTTTGTAATGTGCAAGCAGAAGTCAAAACTCTAGACTTGCTAGCATTCTGTGGATATAAGTACTTTGGGTAAGCAGACATTCTTTTGATTTCCTTAGCAAAGGTTTTAGTTTTTGGCATTTTTCATTCTTCATTCTTCAGAATTGTAGTTTTTTAGCACCCCTAAGGCCATCTAATCTTTTCTAATACCTAGTTCAGGTTCCTTATCATTGCGATCTAATTTTCCATACATTTTTTATGGGCAACATCTTTTTTTTYGATTTTTCCATTTCATCAAGAAGTGCAGATTTTTAATGTTTGAATTTGTATTCTTTTGATTTACTTTGCCGAAAGATTTTTTGTTGGCATTTTTCATTCATCTAGTGTTTTATAATGCCTAGAGATTATTATCGTTATGATGTTGTCTTCCATTTCAGAATGATTCTCAGCAGTCTAGCAGGTCTTCTCTTCAATTCTACTGGATATTATACTGTGTTTATTTACATGAGTATTACTGATGCTTTCTTTTTGGTTAGTAGGAACAACKAATGTTATAACAGACAAAATGTTCTTATTAATATTGTAAAAATCTGATTAATGATGTAAAAAAATGACAAACAGGATGGAGGTGAAGAGGAAAAAGCTAAAATGGGAGAGAGGAAAAAAAAAGAAAAATATAGGAAGGATGGAGTGATAAATGAATATTTGAATATTTTTGTGATGAATCAATCCATCCATCCATCAATCCAATCAATCAATCAATCAATCAATCAATAAAAAAAAGAGAAAAAATGGATTGAATAAGAACCAAACAGCGTGAACAATTGAATAATAGAAAATAGGAATGAAAGAGCTGAGGGAGAAAAGAAAGATGGAAATAATGAATGAGTAAATAAATGAAAACATCAGAAAATGATAAATAAATACACATGTTATTGCAAAGTAAAGTTTAAGTGACCAGTGTTTTAACTATTGAAAAACGTTAAAAAACTATTAAAAAACGTGGATGAAACAAAGAAGTAGTAAAGTCATGACTCCCACGAACAAAGAAACTCTTAAACTTATTAATTTTTTGGTTTTTTTTTTTCCTTCTAGATTCGAACCCTTCGTCTAATCATCATGCCTGAGACAGAATCAGATAGTATTGCACGTACAAGCAAAAGGCGGATCTACTTGCTGCTATTTATTGCTGCCTTGCAACCTTTCTTTATGTACTTCTTGACCAACCACTTAAGACCCTCAACAACTACAGTAGAGTCATAAAGAAAACTTTTTTACAGTATCTATCATTATTTTTTCATGACAGTCTAGATTTCATGTGTTATCTTGGTCATGAATATGTATGAAGTAGATTTGATATTCTAGCACATCCTAAGAGAAAGTGAAAACTATGTAGACTGTTGGTTTTCATGTTGTTTACARCTCTATGCTGTGTTTATAATTTAAGGCAAAGGATCAAGGCAGATAAAAGGCAGATTTGATCTCCAGTTTAACCTGCATTCAACTCATTTAGTTTATGCTCTGAAGACCTCTGTGAAAGAAAGAAGTCAAAGGAGGAACCAGTATTTGGACGTGTGCAGGCCCACTCTGGTCATTATCTGGTGAAGTTGGCCTGCACACAGACTAGTTGGGAAAGGATCTTGGCCTAGGCAGGAGATGGCAAACAACTTRAATAAGGAATAATTTGCAGTATTGCTATGAAATTGGTGGCCTTTTGAAACTTCCTTGCGTTTTTTCATCAGAAGATTATTTTGTAAAAAGTAAAATTATGCATAAGTATGTGGTGCATTTTTTGAGTGACTGCATGTCAGATGAAGCACATTAATTGCACTATTTCACTATGATGTCACTGCTTGTTTGTGTGAGGGATAGAATTGCCAAATCGAATAGAAAATTCGACAAGATTTGCTCCTAGCGAAACAGTTTAATCTAAAATGGCCTGCTTTTCAGATATTATATGTGTTAATATGTACTAAGAATATTCTGAGCATTTGCTGGCTATTGTACTTCTCTTCGTAGATTGATATGGGTTTTAGAACAATTTTCAGTGAATTTGCGTTGATTTGACCCTCTCCGACAACCATGATCCTTTGCCTTTAAACAATAGATTGTTTTGATGTGACATCATAGTGAAATAGGGCAATTGTATGACAACAATCACTCCAACCTTGAGTATGAACCATTAATTGTTCCAGAGGTCWATTATAATTTTCCTAGATTAAATAGTAGTACCTCCTGAGGAGAGTTGGGGGGAGTAAAAGTGCTGTGTCCTACCACTAACATGACTATTAAATCTTTAAATGACAGATGACAGAGAACTACCATTAGAACAAAATTATTGTATGAAAGTTAATATTAGAAATCAATAAAATAATAACATAACATAACATAAAATAAAGATGTTTACCAAGCCAAAACTATCTGTGCAACGTGAACGGAGGAAATAGATTGGAACAGAAAAGAAAATATGTTACATGGACCAAAAAAGAAGGATACTGATTGCAAGCCCTCCCCATATTGTAAATATTGAGCAGGGTGAGGATCCTGGGAGAGGATAATGTGCTGATTGCATTTTAATCCGTGACAGTAATTACTTGATATATCAGTTTCAAACAGGTTAAAAAAGTTTTTAGCATTATATCCTAAATATAGTAGGGTTTTTGTAGGAAAAGTAAAGAGTGCTTCCCTACCATCTCGTCTATGATCTAATAAATTACTCGTATGAATGTTGGGCTTCCTGTGGAGGCGTCATCTCGCAGACAGCGAGAATAAGTTCGATGTGTTCGGCATCCATTACGATATTCTAACGAGGAAAAACCTTATTCAACATCCATCGCCCTAAGGTATGAAATGCTTTCATGATTTCTCCAAACTCTCCAACAGCTGCATTTCATATAGCGCGAAATTTTACTGAACTTGCAATACCATATTTCTACGGACGCGGCTATTTGCTAATTAACTAGCGACCCTTGAGCAAATCGAAATAAAAAAAAAACGATAGTGCAAAGGTGTCATTGCTAAGGAATACTTTATGACTTTTTTTCCATTCACTACTGCAACAAACATTGACTATTTTGTCAGCTAAAGCCAACAAAGCTATTGTTTATTATGGCGTTCCATCCCCGCCAAAATTGATGGTTTGTATTTGAATTCATCACATGAATTTTGCATTCGAGTAAATTTTTTTATGTTACCATCTTGTATTTCATATGCTTCATCAAGGGTTCAACATACGTGTTTAATATTTGTCGTTCAAGTTTTATATTCTAGTGGGGCGGATATGTGCTAGGATTGTTCACTTTTGGCTTAAGAGCACCAAAATTTCAGGAAATATAGCTTTTAGCATGCTAATCAATATGTGATATAGTGCCATGCTGAAATATGGTGCTGACGTAAGATATTGGGAATGTTGCAAAATGACGCCATCTTGAACCGGAAGTGAAATATCAAGACTCAAAAATCATAAAATTCACTCTCGAAATGATTTTATTTCGCTCAATATGTATTTGTAGCTATTCATCAGTGAAAGTTGGATATGACTTACGAACTTTTAGGGCAAGAAGGGGAAAATCTGCACATTTTCTTGGCCTCTATTCATTTAACCGGAAGTGGATGCAACATAGACCGGAAGTGAAACATTGCGAGGCAGAAACACGAAAGCCACGGCGTTATAAATGCTTTGGTGTAGATACAGTAAATAAATCTTTAGAGGAATACCCAGTTTTGGAACTTCCCAGTCATTTGAATCAAATGTTGCCTAAGCAATTTTTTTTCGAACCAATTGCTTTTCCCTATTCAGGAAGTTCCAGAAAACAGGATTCTCATGTATATGCTTATCTATTACATTTTGAAATTTACTGAGGCTAGGTTTGGTTTACACTATCATAGTTTCTTTAATAAAGCTTTGATGAAACTGTCACTGACAATGTAAATACTATTTTAACGTTTCATCAAAAACTTTGATGTACTTTGACGAAAACAAGTTTTCTTTATCTTGTGATGTAGTAGTTAAATATCAATGTCAAGTTTCTCCTTCCAAGGGTTTATTCAGTTCTTACACATTCCCCAGTACACGAACATAAGGCAGTACATGTCAGATCAGCTTTCACGCACAAATATCTTGATTTGCACCCCTTTTTACAGCCACAGCGCACTAGCTCACGGCAGGACTTTGTTAAATCAGGCAAAGTTGTTCAGTATGGTTGCCACCCATCTGTCGTCATAGTCCAGCCCCAGTCTTGTGGACTCGGGAGTTGGGGACTTGCAACGAGTGCCTGACTCCAGCAGTGGCCCCCTTGATACGCAGCTCACTTGGTGTGTTGTGTAAACGCTGCTCTTGTTGGAGGAATGAATTCGAGTGATCTTCCTTTCTGGCTGAATAGTTGCATTCTTGCGTCGTTTACCTTTGTCTTTTCACTGGTTTTGTCGTACATAAGTACGACAAAACGTTCAAGGTGGCCAATACATTCTTCCCTGATATCACTGGGAGAAGATGCCAACTCTAGAAAAGCTTGGGTAACATCTGGGTAGCATTCCCAGAGTTCTAGGGCAGTCTTCTTACTCCGTCCAGCAAAGGAACACACAATATTTACTGATCTTATCAAAATCCATTGTTTTCAGTCTGCATTATCCCAACAAATGCATAGAGGAAAATCAGACATATTTAGTTCATTCATTATTGGCTTTGTTTCTATGATAAACAAGCTAGAAAGAAAACAATTGGATTTTGATAAGAACAATAATTATACTAGATAATCACTTCGGCACACAGCATTCATAGGTATATAATGCAGGCAGCTGAGGGCGTAGCCGTGAGCTGCGTGCCTCAGTAATTAGGGACCTTAAGCATCTAGGACGTTGACGTCCAGGACGTGAACCGGAAGTAATAATCTGCGCCTGCGTGTACTGCGCATGTGCTAAAGCCACCGTCATGAAGCTGAAAACGCTGTCCTGAACGTGAATTTTACCCGGTTCAAGTGCTGAAGAGAACTTTGTAAATACTTTCCCTAAACGTTGACAATGAGTCCATTCCAATTTATTCCAGACGCTCAATCAAAGACTCCGTAAGTAAAGCCTTTACTTATCTATTTATCACATTATTAGCTGTTATATATTTTTGTTGTTTTGGGTTTTTGGTAACCTTGGTCAATACGAGGACAACTTTTGGTCGAGGAAACGAGTTGTCATTGTAAAAGCTTGAAGATTTGTGTAGAATTTTATGGCATTTCTTTCAAATAAAAACCGGAAAAAGTCCGAAAACATTACCTTACCCATGTTTGATAGTTTGTGTGAAGTATAAATTGGGTAAACTAGCAATTTATGCTTACTTTTAACAGTAAAAACTGAGCTCTTTTCTTTTTCTTTTTGTAATTTATAAAACTAAATTTGTACCCTTAAAATTCTAATAAATGAATTTTTTTTATCTTTTGCTTGTATAATAGGAGGAATTAAGATTATGAATGAATAGAGGAGATATTTACCGACAACTTGCTCATAATACTATAAACCTAAACCTAAAACAAATCCCGAGGTCAACAGAATTTCAATAACAAATTGACGTTTCAACTTTTTGTAGGAGCAAAATGGAGTGGAATGAGGAAAAAAACATCTTATTGATCAGAGAAGTTCTAAATGTGGAGCCATACAATGCAAAGGAAAGGACAACACAAAGGGCTCAGCTATGGCAACAAGTTGCAGACAATCTGAACAACCATCACAGCCCAAAATTTAAGGTGGATAAGAGAGCAGTGAGAGACCACTTGAACATGATAATTGAAAAGTTCAAGAAAAAGATGAAGAATGAGGAAAGTACCAGTGGCATTAGTCCAGAACTGACTGAACTAGATGCTCTACTTGAGGAAGTCATTGGACGTATTGAGGTAGCAAATGAAGTGGTTCAGGTAGAAAAAGATAAAACCAAGGAAAAAATGGAGAAAGAAAAAAAAGAAGCAGAAGATGTAAGGCTTAAGGCAATGGAGAAGCTAGCTGAGCTGAGACTAAGAAAAAAAGTGGGGATGAAGAACCAAAAAAGAAAATCAGTAAACGGAGAAGATCAAATGGAACTGATACTGTAAATTACCTGTGAGAGAGAGCAGAAATAGAGCAGCAATACAGAGAACAAGAGCTAGAGATAAAAAACAAGCAACTGGAAAGCAGCGTGCAACATAAAGTGCAGTCAGATCAACAACACAAGGAATTTATCCAGCTAGTCTTAAGTCAACAGCAGCAGCAACGACAGCAAAACCAGCAGCAGATTCAGCAATTCCAAATGATGCTCAACCAGCAGCAGCAACACCAACAGCAGTTGCTTATTACCCTCTTGAGTAAGAAAACAGATTAATATTTGAAAGTTTGTCCCCTTTTATTGTACTGTGAGAATTTTGGAGCCTTTGATGAGACACATTTTTCAAAAATTGTTACAGGTTTCATTCTCCATCTGAAAAAAAGCAGTTGCGCCATAAATTATATTTATTTACAGAATTTGTGAATTAACTCATTAAATATATTATATTTGAACGGTTGCTTAAAGCAGACTTTTAATTTTTACCCATAAAATCATCCAGATTTTTAAATCTGTAAATTCAAGTTGTAGTTATAGTATGTAACTGATGGATAGAATATCAGCAAAGAGAAAATTAGTTATTTCATTCAATAAAGATGCATTTTAGATATTTCATTGCCTAAAATGTCTGGTTATTGTTTTTCTTTAAAAAAACATTCTATATACAGATATCATTTCCAATTATTTACATTACTTACATACTTTATGTAACACCGGAGAAAGACAATCAGCAGCAGTCAAAATTTCACAGTACAAGAAATGACCAAAGTCATAGTCAAGGCATAAGTAAGTAATACCTGCTCTTTAAATTTACATTTCCTTTGCTCACTTTCTTTTAAAGTACACAAAGCAAAAGAAAAAAAATCCAACTTAAAATAAGTACTGAATAGGGCAACATTTTCTTTCTAGAGTGAATTCCTTAAACYTGTGCAATAAAAATTACTTGCTGTGTCCATGAGGCAAGACTAAAGTTACTCTATTTAACAAACTATTAGCTACTCACTCAACCAGAAAAATTAAAGTGCTACTACGACGAAAATCGCTCAAACTTGGATTCAGCTGAAACTTCCTAA